TGAGAGTATCCTGATGTGATTTAGGCCTGTTGACTTTGAAGTTGATTCAGTTAAATCACAAAGATGTGGGTCCTGGGCTTCAAAGCGTCTGGGTGCCTAGTGCTGATGACTAACTGCCCATTGCTGAATTTTACGGGAAAGGGTTGTTGAAACAGTAACAGCAAAAAATAAAAATGTCCCTGCTTCTGTGAGTAGCTTTGCTTATGCTGATACTATCACAAAGGGCATCTCTGCTTGTCAATGCGCATGCATCTGCAAAATAACCTGGTGTTGCACTGCTTCTGAAGAAAGAAGACGTATGAAATATTAACTGGCAAGAGAAACCGCATTAAAACACAGATAACTTTTAATATGAATTTCACCATATTGTGTAGCTTTCAATTTTAGTGTTATCTCACTCACAAAGCATTCAAAACAACTGCACAGGTAAACAGTGAGATTGCACAGAGGAAATAATATTTTTAAAGTTCAGTGAAATGTCGTCATTTATGGTATGTGGGCACTTACCTGTGCTCAGAAGGCAAATGTTGATGAGTACAGAGTTTCATTCATCAAGGTCCATAACCTTTTGTATTCTCTGTTCTTCCCCAGAATCAATTCTGATTGGTGGCACCAAGCACCCAATCCCCAGGTGATGAGAAAGTTTGTTTTTTCAAGTGCTGAGCACTGTACAGAAATTCTGATGGTAGTTAATGTGCACCTTGAGGACTGAATATTCTGAGGTAAGGAGATTTTCCCTAGGCTGTATGTTTAATTTGAAGGGGGCAAAAGGCTGGATCTGCAACCACCCTCATGACTACCCAAAGATCTGAGCAGTTTTTATAGAATGGTAGAATTGTTAAGGTTGGAAAAGACCTTTAAGATCATCAAGTCCAACCATCAACCCAGCACCAACCTTGTTCACCATTAAAATATGTGTGTCATGTCTGCACATTTTTTGAACACTTCTGTGGTGACTCCCCCACTTCCCTGGGCAGTATGTTCCAATGCTTGGTCACCCTTTCCATGAGAAAACTTTTCCTAATATCTAATCTAAACCTCCCCTGGTGCAAGTGGAGGCCACTCCTCTTGTCCTGTCACTTGTTACCTGAGAGAAGGGACAGACAGGCACCTCCCTGCAGCCTCCTTCCAGGTAGTTATAGGGAGCAATAAGGTCCCTGCTGAGCCTCCTTTTCACCAGGCTAAACACAGGTTGACCTTTCTCAATCTGAACAATGTGTACGTCCTGGAGGATAAAGCTGGAATCCACACCTCCATCCCAACTTCATTTTTTACAACTCTCTTCCATTTTTTCTCCTTTTTTCCCCAAGCAACATACACAGAATATCACGACTAACATGGAGGCTGTACAAATATATGCTAATATGCGAACTTTAAGCCAAAATTTATTTGGATTCTCCTTCTGCATTGATGCTCAGAACCTTACAGCTAATTGCACATTTGCTAATTGTAGCCTGCTTTTCCCAGCCTCTTTCATTTCATCTCAAAAAGGAAACATGATAATGGTGACTCTGCAGATACTCTAAAATAACCAGTGTTTTACTGAATCTCAGCCACTTTCTTATGTGAATAGCAAATCTCTCTCTGCAGATACTATTCTATGCAGTTGTTCTGAATATTTTGTTAGATTATACTGAAAATGAAAGCGACACGAAATAATGAAAATCAGATTTAGCTGCGTTTTAATGTGGCATTTTACCACCTAAATATTTTTGCAAAAAAACCTTCACAAAAGCTCTTGATTTTGAAGCTGTTTTTTCAGTAGTTCTACAGGAATGGCATTTATGGTTATACTGTTGTATCAGCAAAACTACCAATGCAAGTATTTTGCTTTTTATCTTGCTTTATAGCCCTTTATACAAGGCCTTCCTAGTACAGTTCTGCAGCAGCATTAATTTCATAAAGGTCCTGAAGGTCATTCTTATTTTCAGTCAAGTAACAATATCCAAGAATTTTAATGATGCCCTTGCATTAGTGTTACAATATTCAGAATTGTTATAAAATTCAACAATGTATGAAAATGTCATTGCTAGGGATGAATGAAGCAGCTCATCTGAAAATGAAAGCCCAAATCTTTGCTGGTGTTCAAAAAACTTCAGGTAATTTCACTTTTTCTCCCCTACCTCCACTTCTCAGGTACTTCTACAAATTCCGGTGCCTGAAATATCATCATAATTGATTTTTCTAGACAAAGGAAGTGCTTGGAGATAATTATCTAAACTTAAGTACAGCATTTGGTACAGCGCCATGTGGGAAATTATTAGCTAAAAGGGGAGATTAGTACAGAAATTGAAAAGTGAATAAGAATGCGAGAAGTAGGTGGAGATCAGTACTGAGGGAAGGCAGTAGGGCTTCCCAAGCATCAGTCTTGGGCCTGATGTCATTGAACATTTTTTATTAATGATGATCCCATAAAAAAATAAGCGTGTGCTAATGGAATTTACCAGTGGCATAAGGGAGGGAGGCACTGTCACTACAGAGATGAATAACACTCTCATTTAGGAAGAACTTGAGTAACCTTGAGAATAGGATGAATTGGATGAAATTTGGAAGGATTTGACCACAAGTTCATCTTCTTAAGCAGGTTTCTACTATAGGTAAGAAAAGACTAAGGAAGGGAAAATATAGACCATAAAAAGCAAGGTATTTTCACCCGGATAATGAAACTCCTGTAATGATGCATGAGGTACATGTTAAAAATCAGATAGGACAGTGCACATTATCCACAAAATTCTTCACTTCACTTTTGGGAAGCTATGGAAAGAGATGATTTGAGTGACCATGGGAAGGTAGAGCCTGTGGTGTGAGAGGAGTTTGGCAAAATGCGTGCTGAGGGAGGCTGCTATAAATACTGCATGGGCACAAGCTCTAGGAAGAAAAAGCATCTATTTAAACTGAAGGACAACATTGGCACAAGAACAAATGAGCATAAATTGGTCATGAATAAATTTAGGATGGGAATTGGAATCAGGTTTCCAAACAACAGAATAGCAATGTTCTGCAATTGCTTTCCAGTGAGAACAGTGGAAACAACAACAATAACAGCAAACCCCAAGATACTTTTAAGATGGACTTAAATGAATTTCTGAAAGGGATTATATGATGTGTTTGGCTAAGATAGCAGAGAAGCAGACTTGATGACCCAAGAGGTCTGTCTTTCTAAGCCTGTTTCTCATGACCAAATATTTCAGAGCACTTTTAAGTGCTTCCTTTCCTTCATGTATTTTTTTGGATAAATTTTTTTAGAATATACAGTAGGAACTGCTAGCTGGACTGATTTAGGGAAGGCACAAAAGTGTTTTGTCCAGAACATGTTGAATACTGTCCAAACAAAACAAAGGAAGTGTCTAGTGTCCCATGGGGCAAGGCTTGGGTGCTTAAAGAAATCCCCATTTTCTGTGGAAGGCAGTGGGGACAATTACCTTCAGCACCCCCTTGAGCCTTGGTTCTCTCTTGTTTCCCTTATGCTCCTGAGCCTGCTGCTCTATTTTGTAGTTTGCTTTCTAGGCCCCACTGTGCAGATGCAGCAGTAATGAAACAGGATGGCAAACAATACTTTAGATACATAAGATTAAAGGGATAGAAACCTGGGCAGTCAGTGTGAGAACGACTGGATGCCAAGCTGCAGTGAAGATGGCTTGTTTGGGAGAAGGGTGGATTCCTCCAGCCTCGACAGTGGGGTACAGAGCTGTGTTAGCATGTCATGGTTTCTCTCTTGCCCAGGAGGCACCTATGTCCTTTGTTTTGGTTTATCCTTCTTAGGATAAACTGTCCCTTGTTCTCAAATCCAGCATTTCCATTACTTCTTAAAAGCTGCATTTCCCCAAGTCAATGTGGCCATAAAGTGATTTGTATGGAAGCCTGGGGCTGGAGTTTTATGGATTTCTTACCCACACTAGCAAAACTGGGTATTAACAGCCCTTTCACAGTAAGAGAAGCTGCTTCATTCAAGGGCTGGATATGCAGGTTGGCTGGGTAATGCAGTGGCTCCATGATTAGGAGAGGATCTCACAGTCAAAAGTTTTATGATTTTCTTTAGTTGAAATCTGGTGAGGTGGGCAATGAGACCTGCAGAACTGAATGATTCAGGTTGGTTTTCCTCTCCAGCTAATTACACACATACTTTTTCTGAAATCAGTTATTATTATTGAGAATAGGTTAAGAAATGGGAAAGTTAGATGAATCCCCAAGAGTACAGGTAGTTTGGAAAATGAGAAGAAATAGGCACCGGCTTTACAGCTCGTCACCATCCACATTAATCACGTTTGCAGTAGGCAGCAGCTATTTTATGTGCAAATACTATAACAACTGGTTTGAAAAAATGAAGCAGGATGGTGGAGCCCAAAAGTTCATGGGAAGAGGATAATGAACACCTGTGTATTGAAATAGAAAAGGGAGTTTTCAGTCCCTCTTCAGCTGAGGTTTCTGCAGCTTTCTCAGTCCCTCGCTGAGGGACTCCGTGGTGTGGCAAGAAGGCTCTTGGTGCCTGGTGGGGCAGTGACAGCGAGGTCAGCTCACTTCCTCTACTGCCTCACCCCTGGGGATTTTAAAAACAAGAGGTTAAAAAATAATCCCTGCTTGGGATAATAATTCCCAGTGGTGCCCTGGTCCTGCCCTCCCATCCCCAACCAGGGCAGCCCTTGGCCCCGTGGCCATCGTGTGCTTCACCAGACCTGTCCCTGCCGAGTGGGACCACACGGCTGAGGGTGGCTGTGAAATGACTCCTCTGTGGGAGAGCTGTGATGCTGTGAGGATGTTACAGCCTATGCAAAAGGAAAACAGACAGGGGCAAAGGAAAAAAAAACCACAAAAATGCTGTGTTCGTTCCTCACTCTTCCCTCAGTGCTGTCTCGCCCCTTGCAGCGGCTGCAGAGGTGTGAACACATCCTGTTTACATCTGCCACCAAGACAGAGAGGATGAGGGGAGCACACGGCTGAGGCGCAGTTGGAGGCAGCGCTGTGCCCAGGGAGAGCTGCCTGCGGTGGGAGACGGCCCCGGCATGGACACACTGCCCATCTACCACGGGCGCATCACGCGGGAGGCCGGGGAGAAGCTGCTGCTGGAGGCGGGCGTGGATGGCAGCTACCTGCTGCGGGACAGCGAGACCATCCCGGGAGCCTACTGCCTCTGCGTGCTGTGAGTGCTGCCACGCTGCCCTGGGCTGTGGGCAGCCAGGGCACTGGGGCTGGGAGGGGGGTGCTGGCAAGGGCTGGTCGGGTGGCGGCCGATTTCCAACCTTCACTTCCGCAATACGGGGAGTCCCCACAACAGAATATGTTCTAACACTGCCCTTTGCTTACATGTGCGAGACTTTTGCCTTCTTCATCTTGTCTTAGGGCAGAGGGGTGTGTAAGGGGTGTGTAAGGGGTGTGGGGTCCTTTGCAGAGTGAAGAGGAGCAGGTTTTGCCTTTCAGGGCCCACGCTTCCTCTGGACAAAAACGCCAAAAGAGAAAGCAGGCCAGGAGCGCACAGGAAGGGTGAGCGAGGTGCCATGGAGAAGTGCCAGGCAACTTGGCTTAGGATGGTGTGTACTGCCTCTTTGTGCTGGATAACCCTCTTGCTTTCTGCCTGCATTCTTCTGCTTCTTTATTGTGCTCCTGGGTGTTCTCAGCAACATCCTCAGGGTCCCCTGTCATCGGGGAGGGTAATGTGGAGTGCTGACATCCGCAACAAGCCTTTGCTTCAGGATGCTCTCAGTCAGGCTGAGTGTCCCATGAACCATCAGTTTCACCATCAGGTGAAAATACCTGTAATGCACTTGAAACACGAATGGGTAACAAACTCAGTGGTAATGTTTCATGAAATGGGGTGGAAAGGGAGAGATCCGATGGGATGCTCTGTCAGAGAGAGAGTAGACAGGTTCCCCTGGGAGAACCTGGGGACTTTATGTTCATAGGATTTCATTTTAATGAGGATATTTAATTACTCTACTATTGGCAAAAGTCTTGAAAGTCCTGATAATGCTGTACCAGTGCACTGGAAAAACAAAGACGTGTCTATCAAGACACTGATGTCTTATTTCAGCAGGAGAAGGAACACAAGAGAAAATTGTTTCAGGTCCAGTACAAAATTAACTAAGAGGGGGAACTCAGGTACCTGGCAAAAAAAAAAAAAACAAACCAGAAGAAGAAGAAGAGTTCTAAGTCAGGTTTTCCCCAAATCTCTTGAATACATTTCCAACAATATGTAGTTAAGCCCTTGGTGAGCATCATTATCCCCCCGTTACAGAGCAGTGAATGGAGACATGCAAGGAGGTCATAGGCAATCGAGAAATACACAGCCTTCTTCTCAGGGAGAATCTTTGTGACAGAAGATGTATTTTTTATTCTCTCATGAAACCAGAAGGTGAACCAAGATAGGTGCTTCTGCTAACAAATACCTTAATAACGAGATGAAAAATGGGAAATAAGAAGCATCTTGAGTTAAATGAAAATGGAATAGACATAGCAAGAGGTAAGGAGTGCTATGATTCCTATGGTGGGAATAGGCAATAAAAGCAGAATCTCTTTTAAATAACCATCAGAGGAAATGGTGATATATCACCTTTACACTCAGAAGTCATTCAATACAGGTGAAACACTGTGGCATTAGAGAAAGGGTCAGGCAGAGTGTTACAATGCTGAATAAAATAGAGAATACTAAAATTAGTCTACTATTAGTCTAAATCAGGATGTAGGTATGTAACAAGGTCTTTCATCTGCACTCAATCAAGTTGGGATTTTTTGGTATATTAGTGGTAGTTTATGTCCTTCTAAAGAAATTTCATAAATGAAATAGAATATAGAAAATGAAAATAGGAAGAAATTAAAGGATTTCTAACTGTTAAGCTCCTCAATCTTTGGAGAAAAGAGACTTCAGAGAAATAGAACACTACATAATTGTTTCTGGAAATTATGTACCATTCATGTCTTCATGGTATGTTGCATTCAAACATACATACGATAAACAAAAGGATAAAAGCAAAAAAAATTAATGGTGAATGTTATGAAGGCTTCATACAGAACATAGATCCTTAATATTTATTTCATACAGGAAATGGCATCTTGGATAAATCCAGATAAAAAATTAAATGAAAAATGTTACAGTGAGTATGATCTTATGCAGACAGAAAGGTGGCTGAAAAATGCTAGAGCTAAGCCTTCATTCCAATACTTGTTAATATTTCAATTCAAGGCATTATGGAAGAAATAGCAAATATGGTAAAAGACACATCACACAATAACTTTGGAGACAGTTATTATAAAGATACCAGGAAAAGATCTCACACTAAAGATAGCAATGACAGTTTAAAGAAATGTGGGCTATGAACTAGAAAAGTGCTTTGACAGGCAAAGTTTACCAAAGCAGAGACTTTAGTGGAGTGATTAGAGAAACAAGGAAGGAAGGAATGAGAAATGTAGATATGTGTTCAGTGGAGGATGCTAAGCCTGGCTTTGGCAAAATAAGCCAGTGGACGTAACCTGTCCAAATTCCAACCTGAACATCATGGGCAGAGATGGAACAGGTGGTAAGCATGTATGTGCATGGGAGCTTTGGTAAAAGCTGAAGGAAATGTGTAGTATTTAAGAAAAAGAAAATCAAAGAAGAATAAGTACACCTCTGCTTTTTTATACTTTCTTCTAAATAATCATGGAAATTATTAGGAATAACAAAGTTATTCAGAAATTTACATTTTGGTTCAGAATCTGTGCTGAAGATCACTGTAGGAATGCCTAAATATAACGAGATCAGGCAAAAGATGTATTGACTAGAAGTACTGAAGTGATCTTTGAAACTTTGGAAACAAAGCTGGTCATCCATTAGATATATTGCAATAAGTATCAGAGGTAAACAAAACATTCTGCATCTTTGCAATAAGAATTTCTAACAGAAGAGAATCTGTTTCATACTACCAAGAATACTTCTCTTGTACCTAGAAAACAAAAAGAGAAAAATAGTCCAGTTTTCCAAAACCAAAACATGTTCAGTCTTTCTTCTTTCCCTTCTCCCTCCACCTCTGTGGAGAAGTCAAACAAAACAAACCTGAACCCCTGCAGCTTCCCAGTTCTACCCCTTTTTAGTTGTGGTTTTTTTGTTTGTTTGTTTGTTTGTATGTTTGTTTTTAATCATGGGGGAATTAAATGGCATAGTTTCTGATAAAGAGAAAAGAAACATTTATCCATGTATCAAAATAGTGATTAAGCCTGTATTTGGGTGGCTGCTGTGTGATCATTTTGAACTTGCATAGGTGGCTCCACTTCCAGCTCCAGGTACGGTAATTGTCCTGTGATTCCGTTGCATTATTTAGGCTCAAACAATGTTTCCTTTTCCTGAGAAACTGCATAAATCTGTAATGCCACCATCACCACCACACCCTCCCCCTAGGACATCTCCAAAAGGCCCTGACATACTGTGGCAGCCTTTGAGCATCTTAAGGCACACAATAAGGACTGCACCCTGCACGGTCAAGCTCATTCACCTTTTGCTTTTCCAATTAAAAAGTGGAGCCCTGACCTTTAAAAAGGAGAAGAGTCAAAGGCTTCATGAATCCCTTGTGACTGACACTGATTTTACAGGGCAAGCATAAAAGAGACAGGTAGTAGCATAAAACCTGACCTATAGAGATGGGTAACTGCAGCAGGCAGGACCCTGTTGGAGCATTCATCTAGAAAACTCTCCTTTCTCTTTTCTTTGTTTCTCCTGAGCTATTGATTTATCTCCCTTGAATGGTGCTTTCTGCTATCCAAAGCCACGGTGTGCACGTGGTGTGCCTGAAAGCCTTCAAAGAGAGAATGAATGTTTTTTTTGGTGTGACTGTGGTGAAGCACAGAGGACTCACTTTCACAAATATATTAAGATCACAATTAAACTATGTGTGGAAGAGTAGGAAGGTTCTGATTTACAACTGTCTGCCCCTGGGCTCTTGCAAAGAGAGGTGCTGCCTTTAGATTTTGGCAAAGACTTTAATATCAGATACTCCCAGGTTTTCATTGTATGAATATCATTTTTTAATTGATAATATATACTTGAAGGATATTGTGAATATGTCAACAGAAGTACACAATCTTTTCCTGGGATTTTTTAGATTTGCATTGAAAAGCAAAGGTTTTTGCTGTTCCTGAAAACTGGGCTACAAGAAATGCATATGTTTTAGAAAACATACACGTTTTACCTGTAAACATGTTAGACACTACACACGGTACACCAGGGTTTTAATATCAAAAGCTGATTGTTCCAGGGAGCTTTCTTTACTGGTCTGGTTTCCTCCTTGCTCAATGCCCCTTTTGACATTTTTAGCACCCTCAGAAATCCTCTGTGCTCACAGCTCCTAATGAAGTCAATGGGGGACATGGGGCACACTAATGGTGACTAGTTTGAGAAGCAGCCTCTTAAACCCTGCCTGAAAAATGAATAAATAAAGTGCCTGAGAGTGCCAAAAGCCCCGTGCTCCTTTACAGATATATGAGCACACATGCACAAACAAGCAGCTCATGCCTGAATTGGCAAAGATGAAGCATTTCTAGTTTGGGGTTTAAAATTCATATACTTGAAAAATACTGGGAACGTTAGTAGTTGTTTTGGAGCTTTAAGTAAGACAAACATGACGCGCTTGTCAAACTGTATGTTCAGATGATTTGTTTGAAACCAGCCATTCATGTACCGTGCTGCATTCAATTTGTGGAGAATAATCAAAAGCTGGAATTGAAAGCTATTTAAAGCTCCTGAAGCAACAGTAATGGCAGCAGGGATAGGCTGCAGTCCTATCAGATTTTACACGTGCTATTTTTTCTGTCACTGTAACCACGGTGCAGAAGTTCAAGGCAATGTGCCGAAACTTTCTGATGCGGCAGGCGTGTCAGCTGTGCAGCGTGAGGGTGTGATACAGGATCACAGCTTCAGCTTAGCATTTCTTCTGTTTCCTATGTAATATTTTTTTGATAGAAATGGCAGAATAATTGCATTTATTATAACACTGCACATCATCATCATCATAATTTAAAATGTAATTTGGAACAAAAGGAGAAGCCCCTCAATTCAGCGTTGCTGTTGTAAATATCACCCACTGTTTTCAGCTTTGAAAAGAGTCTTCTATGGTATGGCAGTAAATTCTACTGGTGTGAGTATTTCAGCTTCCTGCTAATCAGTGAGTGTCATGT